TAATCAAAAAGGCTGACAAAGGAGGTGCTGTTGTCATCATGAATAGGTCGGAATATGAACAAGAGGCTGCTCGGCAGCTCTCCAACACGAGTTTCTACAAGCCATTACCCTATGATCCCACTGAGAGTTACCAAAAGCAACTACAGCATTTGCTCAAGAAACTTCCTGAAAAAGCACAAGATCAAATCCGCACAGACACACCCCTGGAACCCCGACCTGGGATATTCTATCTACTACCCAAGATCCATAAACCTGGAAATCCTGGGCGCCCCATCATCTCAGGCATTGGCACCCTGACAGCAGGATTGTCTGGCTATGTAGACTCCCTCCTCAGGCCCTACGCTACCAGCACTCCCAGCTACCTTCGAGACACCACTGACTTCCTGAGGAAACTTCAATCCATCGGTGATCTTCCTGATAACACCATCCTGGCTACTATGGATGTAGAAGCCCTCTACACCAACATTCCACACAAAGATGGACTACAAGCCGTCAAGAACACTATCCCCGATAATGTCACGGCTAACCTGGTGGCTGAACTTTGTGACTTTGTCCTTACCCATAACTATTTCACATTTGGGGACAATGTATACCTTCAGATCAGCGGCACTGCTATGGGTACCCGCATGGCCCCACAGTATGCCAACATTTTTATGGCTGATTTAGAACAACGCTTCCTCAGCTCTCGTCCCCTAAAGCCCCTACTCTACCTGCGCTATATTGATGACATCTTCATCATCTGGACCCATGGAAAAGAAGCCCTTGAGGAATTCCACCATGATTTCAACAATTTCCATCCCACCACCAACCTCAGCCTGGTCCAGTCCACACAAGAGATCCACTTCCTGGACACTACAGTGCTAATAAACAATGGCCACATAAACACCACCCTATACCGGAAACCTACTGACCGCTATTCTTACCTGCATGCCTCCAGCTTTCACCCTGACCACACCACACGATCCATCGTCTACAGCCAAGCTCTGCGATACAACCGCATTTGCTCCAACCCCTCAGACAGAGACAAACACCTACAAGATCTCTGTCAAGCTTTCTTACAACTACAATACCCACCTGCAGAAGTAAAGAAACAGATTGATAGAGCCAGAAGAGTTCCCAGAAGTTACCTACTACAGGACAGGCCTAACAAAGAAAATAACAGAACGCCACTAGCGGTCACCTTCAGCCCCCAACTAAAACCCCTCCAACGCATTATTAAGGATCTACAACCTATCCTAAAGGATGACCCAACACTCTCACAAGTCTTGGGAGACAGGCCAGTCCTTGCCTACAGACAGCCCCGCAACCTGAAGCAAATACTCACCAACAACCACATACCACACAACAGAACCACTAACCCAGGAACTTATCCTTGCAACAAAGCCCGTTGCCAATTGTGCCCACATATCTATTCAGGGGACACCATCACAGGGCCTAATAACATCAGCCACACTATCAGAGGCTCGTTCACCTGCACATCCACCAATGTGATATATGCCATCATGTGCCAGCAATGCCCCTCTGCCATGTACATTGGTCAAACTGGACAGTCTCTATGTAAAAGAATAAATGGACACAAATCAGATGTCAAGAATTATAACATTCATAAACCAGTCGGAGAACACTTCAATCTCTCTGGTCACGCAATCACAGACATGAAGGTCGCTATCTTAAAACAAAAAACTTCAAATCCAGACTCCAGCGAGAAACTGCTGAATTGGAATTCATTTGCAAATTGGATACTATTAATTTAGGCTTAAATAGAGACTGGGAGTGGCTAAGTCATTATGCAAGGTAGCCTGTTTCCTCTTGTTTTTCCAACCCCCTCCCCCCCCAGATGTTCTGGTTTAACTTGGATTTAAACCTGGAGAGTGGTCAGTTTAGATGAGCTATTACCAGCAGGAGAGTGAGTTTGTGTGTGTATGGGGGTGGGGGGATGTGAGAAAACCTTGATCTATGCAGGAAATAGCCCGACTTGATTATGTAAAGAGTTGTCACTTTGGATGGGCTAGCACCAGCAGGAGAGTGAATTTGTGTGGGGGGGTGGAGGGTGAGAAAACCTGGATTTGTGCTGGAAATGGCCCACCTGTTGATCACTTTAGATAAGCTATTACCAGCAGGACAGTGGGGTGGGAGGAGGTATTGTTTCATGATTTCTGTGTGTATATAAAGTCTGCTGCAGTTTCCACGGTAAACATCTGATGAAGTGAGCTGTAGCTCACGAAAGCTCATGCTCAAATAAATTGGTTAGTCTCTAAGGTGCCACAAGTACTCCTTTTCTTTTTAAAAAAAGAGCCTACAAAAATCACCACAGGAACCTGAATATTATATACATCATGCAAAGCATGTTTTGTCAGGGGAAGAAAAGCCAAATGAATTTAAATACAAAAATATATGGTTATTAAAAGCCTCCGAGAAACTGCAAATCATCATACTGGAGTGTCAAATATACTCTGGTAAAACAATTCTTTTTGGAGGCTTTTGAGGACTACCATAAAACCCTATGGGTACCTGTTGGTGGATTTAAACTCTTCATCAGAAGCCTACAGGTTAAGGACAGACCAACCCCTGCCCCCAACCAAAACTAACCCTATGTATACATTTTGAAAAAAGACCATGACAAGTATTAATTTTTACCAGCCCTGCACCATTTTTAAAAAGTGTATCCCCCTCACAAGCATGTCTAGCATATGCAGAGAAACCTGGCTCTTTTCAAACTCCTCAATATCAGACCTCAGAAAAGGAAAGATATTCTGTGCTCTTCCTCTGATGCCCTGGTAGCAGCCATCTCAGATATAGCACTTAGCCCTTTAAAAGGAAACTTCTCAATGTAACCCTGACATCTAAGCATACTAAAAAGAAAACTAGGGGTTATAAAAATCTGAGCAATAAAAGACTGTCCCTCAAAATTAAAAAGCTGGTTGTAAGACAGGCCAGGGGCTTTATTGGTCCTATGTTAAGCTTCGCACTCCCCCTACTATCAGGGTTTTTAAATAACTGATAATGGAACATACTGAAAAATTGTACCTCTTTCCTAGCCATCAGCTAGAACAAATGAACAGCGCCTCTAGTGGTGAAGAAAATATCAGACCCACAACAACTCACCAATTTGATTCTGAGATGAAAAGAAAAGGAGTACTTGTGGCACCTTAGAGACTAACCAATTTATTTGAGCATAAGCTTTCGTGAGCTACAGCTCACTTCATCGGACACATTCAGTGGAAAACACAGTGAGGAGATTTATATACACACGGAACATGAAAAAATGGGTGTTTATCTTGTACACTGTAAGGAGAGTGATCTCTTAAGATGAGCTATTACCGCTATTCCTACCTACATGCCTCCAGCTTTCACCCTGACCACACCACACGATCCATTGTCTACAGCCAAGCTCTACGATACAACTGCATTGTCTCTGTCTGAGGGGTTGGAGCAAAACATCTACAAGATCTCTATCAAGCATTCTTACAACTACAATACCCACCTGCTGAAGTGAAGAAACAGATTGACAGAGCCAGAAGAGTACCCAGAAGTCACCTACTACAGGACAGGCCCAACAAAGAAAATAACAGAACGCCACTAGCTGTCACCTTCAGCCCCCAACTAAAACCTCTCCAACGCATCATCAAGGATCTACAACCTATCCTGAAGGGCAACCCATCACTCTCACAGATCTTGGGAGACAGGCCAGTCCTTGCTTACAGACAGCCCCCCCAACCTGAAGCAAATACTCACCAGCAACCACACACCGCACAACAGAACCACTAACCCCAGAACCTATCCTTGCAACAAAGCCCGTTGCCAACTGTGTCCACATATCTATTCAGGGGACACCATCACATCAGCCACACTATCAGAGGCTCATTCACCTGCACATCTACCCATGTGATATATGCCATCATGTGCCAGCAATGCCCCTCTGCCATGTACACTGGCCAAACTGGACAGTCTCTACACAAAAAACTAAATGGACACAAATCAGATGTCAAGAATTATAACATTCATAAACCAGTCCGAGAACACTTCAATCTCTCTGGTCAGTTGATTTCTGACCTAAAAGTGGCAATTCAACAAAAAGACTTCAGAAACAGACTCCAACGAGAGACTGCCGAATTGGCATTAATTTGCAAATTGGATACAATTAACTTAGGCTTGAATAGAGACTGGGAGTGGGTGAGTCATTACACAAAGTAAAACTATTTCCCCTTGAAGAAAGAAAAGGAGTACTTGTGGCACCTTAGAGACTAACCAATGTATTTGAGCATGAGCTTTCGTGAGCTACAGCTCACTTCTTCGGATGCAAATATTTCCCCTTGTTTATTTCCCCCCCCCCAACACACACACACACACACACACATTCCTCAGATGTTCTTGTTAACTGCTGGAAATGGCCCATCTTGATCATCACTACAAAGGGTTTTGTCCCCCCGCCCCCCACTCTCCTGCTGGTAATAGCTCATCTTAAGTGATCACTCTCCTTACAGTGTGCATGATAAACACCCATTTTTTCATGTTCTGTGTGTATATAAATCTCCTCACTGTATTTTTCACTGAATGCATCCGATGAAGTGAGCTGTAGCACACGAAAGCTTATGCTCAAATAAATTGGTTAGTCTCTAAGGTGCCACAAGTACTCCTTTTCTTTTTGAGAATACAGACTAACACAGCTGCTACTGTGAAACCTGTCATTCTGAGATGAGACGTTCAAAGATCTAGTTTATCCAACTATGACAAGCCTAAACTTTGACAGGGTCCTGCAAAGATACCTGGTATTTGCCAAGCAGAGTGAAGTGGAAAAGACTAATATAAGTCTCTCCCTGAGCAAAAGCAAAATTTGATCTCCTGAAGTTGGGGCGGGGGAGGGGGGGTGAGGGGTTCATCAGACTGTCTCAGGAGGGTTTTTTTGTTGTTGTTGTTTATTTTAACCCTTTAGGAAGAGGTTGTGTCACGTAAAATGTTTTATAATCTATTTTACAAACCCTCCTATACACCAACTGGTCAATTTTTGCTGACACGTTATTTCCAATGCCTGTCAGCAGCAACATCAGGTCTGCTGACTCTTCGACCTCACTTATTGTTTTCACAACTTTGGTTACAGTTTCACTGGTCAAGTTAAGCCCTTTCATTCTGTAGCCTTCGTACATAATTATATTTTGGATCCATGCCACATTCAGTGTAGATGAAATAAGTCTAATCTGATGAAATATTTCTGTGGGTCCCCAAAACATACAATTGGGGAAGGTTTTGACTGGGTGTGTCCATCACACAGGCTTCACAGTTATCAAAAAGTGATCATTTCAAACAGTGGTAAATTGTTTTTACTACAACAGCCCTAATAACAGCAGTCATATCTTTACAGCTTTGCTGGTCAACCTCCTGATATAAACTTAAAAAAATTGCTTTATGCAAAAGCAGCATTTGCATATCATGTTTATCCTTACTGAAGGCCCGTTCTCTTTATTCTTTTCATCCTCTGAAGAGGTCTGTCAAAAGCAAAGAAAAAAGTAGGTTTTAAATTCTTTGTTGCAGTAATTTAAAAGGCAAAAAATTTACTCATGGTACCTCATTCATACCCTTGCTTGCTTCTGAATCACCACAGCCAGCACCCCCAGCAGTTGTACCGCTGGCAACCATCTATCTCTCCGTATCAGCTGTCTCTGCTCCCTGTTATTAAAAAACGAAACATAGATGTGTTTAATCCCTTATAATTTTAAGCTTTTTTCTTTCAGAATGCTCTAAACTGTTTTACCTCATCATGTGCTCCTGGCTCAGATTGCTTTGCTTTGACACCAATTGCTACACACGTGGACTGGGATCCTGTATGGTCCTGGCTTGATTATCTGTCAAAAAAACATTTTAAGGACATAGTTGTAATAAATTTTTTCACATCTGTAAAAACTTTCAGCTGCTTTTACTGTAACAATATTGCCATGTGCCCATTAAACTTTGTTTACTGCCGGGCTGGAGATCAGATAAAGTGTGAAAAATCGGGACGGGGTGTGGGGGGGTAATAGGCACCAGTATAAGAAAAAGCCCCAAATCATCAAGATTGTCCCTATAAAATCAGATTATCTGGTCACTCTACTCTTGGGCCCATCACCTGACGATCCCTCAGCTGCCATGTCCACATACAAAAAAACAAAATATATTTAACCTCTTATAATTTTTCAAGAATTTTTATAAATTAATACAGGCCATCTTACATCAGCCCTCCTCCATAACTGGCAACAAATCTCTCCACGCCCTGTCCTTTACATCTTTGTCCTCATTTAGAACCAGCGACAACCTCAGAAAAACTGGTTCTTCAGTTCAATTTCAGATTGGAACATGGGGTTCAGTATTGGTTATGCCTCTTTAGCAAAATAAGTGTACATAGGTGGTATCTCTTCTGAGCATGTGCAGGTGCACCCAAAGGCAATTTGGGCTTCTTGGTGTCTGGTAAAAAGACGGGAACCTATAGTTTGTGAGCCTAATTTGAAACCCCACTTGCAAAAAAAGCATGGTTTAATGCATGCTGGTCAAATGATCATTAGCTAGTATTTTTCAAATAATCCATTCCGTGAAAGCCTGTTTCTAATCAGCTCAACAAATGAGTGGAATTTTTTTGAATGGACCAATGGTTGATAGTTGTGCCATGATTGGTTGAGGAAAATGCATTCTATGATGTAGCTATAGAACAGCTTCTGATTGGCCCGACCAGGAGGCATGGTTTGTCCCCAAGGCTCATTGTCATTATTTCCCTAGAGGTAGCCGCTGTGTTAAGCTGCTTTTCAGTCCTCTCCGTGCCATGTGCTCAGTAAACGCAGGTTTTCTTGCTGCTTTAAACAAAACTCTTGTTCTGTAACAGTCTTTTCTTACTCACTAGTTCTTACTCATCTGTTCTTACTCACTAGTTTATTTTCTCTAAAAAAAGAGATGCTTTATTCTTTATTTTTCAGACTCCATTTCAAACTAATAATTTTCTAAAAAAAAAAAAAACAAACTCCCCCCACCCCCCAAGCACTTTTAAAACCCCTTCCTGTCATAATCTACCTTATTTTCTAAATCAGGGATTGGCAACCTTTGGCACGCAACCCGCCAGGGTAAGCCCCGTGGCAGGCCAGGCCAATTTGTTTACCTGCTGCTTCCGCAGGTTCGGCTGATTGCAGCTGCCACTGGCTGCGGTTCACCGTCCCAGGCCAATGGGGGCTACGGGAAGCAGCATGAGCCGAGGGATGTACTGGCCACCGCTTCCCATGGTGGCAAACTGCGGCCAGCGGGAGCCGCAATCAGCCGAACCTGCAAGTAAACAAATGAGCCCGGCCTACCAGGGGGCTTACCCTGGCAGGCCGCGTGCCAAAGGTTGCCGATCCCTGTTCTAAATTATCTAAAAATACCCATAAACCTATTTTTCTTCTAACCTTCACATGTTAGAAAACCCACACACAATCACCCCTAACAGTTTCCATTCACATTTTTTTTTTTTTTAAAATTCAAAAGAGTGGCTGTGCCAAAAGCATACATAGCCAGGTATGAGACCTGAGAACAGGACACATCAAAAAAAGGGGCTTGAAAAACCTTTCAAAGTTGTATGGTGATGAATGCTATAGAGCGATTAGTGTCATATAATAGCAGTGTAGCCACAGTAGCATGGGTAGGGGCAACTGAGGCACAACTAAACCATACCGAGAACAAGCCTTCCTGAAACCAGCAGGTATACACTCAGCACTGCTCAGCCAAGCCTCTGCAGCCGCTACTCATTCTACCCTGACTATGCTGCTGTTTATACTAACTCTAGCTTGATGAGAAGTAGAATGAATATGCATACGTGAGCAGCGAAATCACACCCCTACCTTGTAGCGTAGAGGCATACACACTGAATGATTCAGGTGAAACCGGATTCTCTGTTCAAGCAAATGTATGTAAATGCAAGAGCTTGATCTTTCTCCTTCTCCTCACTTCTTTTTGAAACTCATTTCCTGGTGTTCTCAGTTATGTACTGCATATTTATTCACGCCTATTCTATATGTTACTATATTCGATTCAACTACCTTGACCTCATCAACATATATGTTACCATATGATCTGCCATTGCATAATCACAACACTGAGAAATGTGGTATTCTGTTCAATTGCAATAATAAAAAGAAACCATGCTAATTTTGATACTGCTTCTTGGATAAGTTGATAAGATTGATTTCTGCTACACCCCGTCCTATAGCCTTAGCTGCATATAAATAACATTTGTGACTACCATTGTGTTGCATAATCAATTTATGAATGCAAATAAAATTGGGACATTAGAATAATGTCCTACCAAGGAAACTGGTCTCACCTCATATCAGAAAAAATAGCAATTTAATTGAAAGAGTAGAAGGGAAGGGAGAAGAGCACAGAAAGAAGGAAACAGAATAAGAAAAAAAAAATCAGAGGTTTATTGCCTGAATTTATTGTCAGAGTAATACTTCAAAGAAAGTAGAAAACAAAACTCTACTCTTATTGCATTATTGCTTTATAGGGACACATGATGTACCTTGAGGTGGAATCTAAGTTATTTCCCCCACCCTCCAATCAAAGGAACTTAGTCTTTTGGAAGTCCTTACTCATGCAAAACTCCCATTAAAATATTGCCTGAGTAGGGACTGGAAGACTTATTGATCTCTTTGTTCCCGCCCGTCAGACAGAAGAGGGAAAAAATACTGAGATACATTATAACAGGTCGAGCATCAGAAAACTCTATTTTATAATAGAGAAAGCAAAAACACAGACCCAGTAGTCAATTGTACCTAATTTATATGATGTTGTGCCTGCATGTAAACTTTATTACCTGGGGAATAGACTATTTGAGCTCTCTAGTCATTTATCCATGTTATTGTTTTTACTTGCAGTTCTTAATAGGCAGCAAATGTCAGACACCACCAAGTTGGTTACTTAATGTACCCAAACACACCCACACACCATTTGAAAGTTTATTATGTCTACTTTAAGATGAGGCATAATGTGGAGCTATTAAGTGTTGCCATTCCATAGAAACAGGGATAAACAATGGCACCACAAGTGCATTAAGAACGACCACCCTGAAATGTTTAAATTTGTTAGTTCGTTTAATGACTAGTATTTCAAGACATGAAATTTGATTTTCTTAGCCATGTCAGAAAAGGTTGATGACCGATTTCTTGAGTGGGCTGAAGAAGTTGTGTCTTGTCAGAATTAAGTGCACCTTTCAAATCTCTCCATTTGTTCTTCACCAACATCTGCTATTTTCAGTAGAGATTCATGAGCATGTAATATTACATGCAATCTAGTAGATATGTTGATATGTATTTCTGGATGTGATTCAGGGTCAAATGGATTTGTCATATTGTTGAATTAGGGAACTGGAACACATGACTTACGAGGAGAGGCTGAGGGAACTGGGATTGTTTAGTCTGCAGAAGAGAAGAATGAGGGGGGATCTGATAGCTGCTTTCAACTACCTGAAAGGGGGTTCCAAAGAGGATGGATCTAGACTGTTCTCAGTGGTAGCTGAGGACAGAACAAGGAGTAATGGTCTCAAGTTACAGTGGGGGAGGTTTAGGTTGGATATTAGGAAAAACTTTCACTAGGAGGGTGGTGAAACACTGGAATGCATTACCTAGGGAGGTGGTGGAATCTCCTTCCTTAGGAATTTTTAAGGTCAGGCTTGACAAAGCCCTGGCTGGGATGATTTAGTTGGGGATTGGTCCTGCTTTGAGCAGGGGGTTGGACTAGATGACCTCCTGAGGTCCCTTCCAACCCTGATATTCTATGAAGTCATAATTGGCAAGAGCTGTGTTCTTCATCCCTCTTGAATGGAGAGGGAAGGACTTCTTTGAGGACTGCCTGCCCTACTACTTGGTAGGCCTCTTCTTTCCCTCATAGCTTTTACATATTCATAATATGAAGCTGTTTATTGTCATCACTAACACTGACCTGTACATAAGTGTCACTGAATTAGACTAGTTTCTAGAATATTTCAAAGGCTAATACTGCATTCACAGGCATATTAAAAACCTTCTACCAAGTGTACTGGATGCTACAAAAGCTTACAAATGGAGAAGCATTATATTAGGAATTCACATACACTTATATCTACCCAGTACAAAGTATGGGCACGCAATCTACTGCTACTGGTGCACAACCTTCAGTGAGAGACTGATCTGGTCAGCAAATTTCAGCTGAAATTATAGAAAATTATAATGACTTGTGAGATACTCTGACAATTAAGAATATGCAATATGAAAATATTTCATGTTAAAAAATTTCAAAATGTTGATATTCACCATTTTTGCCATGTGCTAAACAGTTTAATCATTGGGGGCTGGGGGGGAAGCACGGAGAGAAGAGAGTACTTGTCCATGCAAAAGTCAATGTAAATCTTTGAATATGTTGGTATTTGGTAGCTTTTATCAACAAACATCACATTAGCATGTTGACATTAACAGAGTAAAAAACCATAGTCAGTCATGTTTCAGTGTTTCTGGAACTGTGCAAAAAAGAAGATACTCGTGTTGGGTACATTGTTTCACCTAATCTACAGGCTTATAGCATCATACCTCATCTAAACATACATAAAATAAGCTTTCAAATGAAGTGTGTATATGTATATTGCATATTTGTCCCCTTCAATTGAGTATTGAGAGCCATGATAGCTGGCACAGAAGAGCAGTCATGAGTGAAATAAGAACACACCCCCTCTGGGGCAGCATTCAGAAAGAAAAGCTTCCTTTGCTTTCTTTTCTCATCTAAGCAGGAAGGAGCTCTTCTGAGATACATAGATACAAATGTTTGGGGGAGCCTTCTGGCCCCAGTGAGGATGAGTGCTGAAGAGATGCCTG